CACACACACACACACACACGCTCACTCACTCACACTCACACACACACGCTCACTCACTCACACTCACACACACAGACACGCTCACTCACTCACATTCACACACGCTCACTCACATTCACACACGCTCACTCACTCTCACTCACACACACACACACGCTCACTCACTCACACTCACACACACAGACACGCTCACTCACTCACACTCACACACACACACACACGCTCACTCACACACTCACACACACACACGCTCACTCACTCACACTCTCACACACACACACGCTCACTCACTCACACTCACACACACACACACGCTCACTCACTCACACTCACACACACACACGCTCACTCACTCACACTCACACACACAGACACGCTCACTCACTCACACTCACACATACAGAGTTTCCACCCCCTTCTGGATGATGAACCAGAAGGAGCTGCATGAGGGAAATGAAGACCAATCCCATGGGGTAAGCTGGACAAGCTGGAAGGTGGTGGAAGGGAGCGCCCTTCCACCTCCGCTCGGCCCGCCTTCCCGCCACCGTCTTGTTATGTTCCCCATTGCCTCTGTGTGACCCTCATTCCTGCCTTTTTCCCCATTCCCTCTGTAGGTCTTACATGGCTATCGCGGCATCCTCCTGGGTCGATGACTTCATTGACTGGCTCAATCCGATGTCGCGGTGCTGCCGGCTCTTTGCTTCGGGGCCCAACGTTGGCGAGTTCTGCCCGGCAACCAACAGTAAGTCCATTCCCCAAAACCCTTCCCAAAGACCAGAACAAAAGCGCGGGTGCGAGCCGGTGGAGGGGAAGCGGTGGAAGGGTTGGGAGCCGGGTTAGCGTTGACTCGAAGTGATTGGGGAAAGAAGCCCCCGGGCGACGTGGGCAGAATGTTTGTGTGTTTTCTCTCTCTCCCTCTCTCTCCGTGTGTGTCGCTCATGCAGCAACTGGCCAATGGCTCCGGCCAATTCAATGGAGACTTCTTCCGAGTGGGCACTGGGACACCATCTGATGGTGGGAGGCGAAACGCGCCTCGGCCTCCGACTGTTTCACAACAAAATAACACTGTGTGGTTACCAGAAAGACAGTAAGAATGGAGCCTGAGATAACACCGGTGTGAGGTGCCGCTCCAACCACTTTCCGGGTGGCGTCGTTGTGACACTGGAGGAGGCCCAGGACGGACATGTCGTCCGGGGAGTGGGGAGTTGAAATGGTTTCTCGCGAACCGAGCGCAGGAGCTCGACAAAGCGGTCTCCGAGCCTCCGCTTGATGCCACCGGCGTACAGGAGGGTCACATCGGGAGCAATGGGACCACATTAGCGGGTGTGCAGGTGAACCTCCGTCTGATGTGGAAGGTTACCATGGCGTTTCCCTCAAGGATCGCAGCGTCCTGGGGGCCGACGTCTCCACGGTGGGGGTGGGGTGGGGGGGGCGGTGGAAGGGAACAAAACGCTTATCAAAATAAGCTCTTCCAGCCATCAGCTTGTGGCCCGCCTTAAAAGATCGCCCCGGGCTCTTCGTTCAGTGACCGGGGGACAGTCGTGGGGTGAGGTGGCAGACTTCCTCAGGGCCTTCCCCCCCACCTGCCCCTGCCCCTGCCCCTTTGCAGGGGCCCGCGCAGGCTGGAGGATGGGCGACGTTGCTCCCATTGCCGCAGCATCAACTCTCTCCCTCTCTCCCTCTCTCCCTCTCTCCCTCTCTCCCTCTCTCCCTCTCCCCCTCTCCC